GGAGCTGACCAACAGAACAGTTCATTTTCTGCCACAATACTGTGCTAAAATAGCTTTTCTTCTTGGCTTTTCGCTCAGAATTTTTATCAGCTCCTTTTGTCTATATATTTTAAAAATTTGTTAAGAGTTATGACAGCTTCTCCTTATACCATTTAAAGCAGATTCAATATCTACCCATATTTTGCAAGTGATATAGTCACAGTTTTATTTGCATTTGGGTGTGCATATTTGTGTCTCAGATGTTTTCTTCTAACATTAGCTCTGGGCATATGTTCAAAATGGGGGTGGGTCTTATTTTTTGAACAGGAACAATAAAAGGTTAAAACTTGAGTTTGAAACTCTAACGAGATTATTTGATTAATTACAAGTGGAGGTCTAAAGAACAGGTTCAGAGAAACTGTTTTATTTCACAGGTTATTGGAATAAGTGGAATAATAATAGAAGAGCAGAAATGCCTGCACATTATGAAACATTATTAAACATAAAAGTTTAAAAAGTTAAAATAGGCTTGTGCCTTTGCATTTTTGTATTGCCAGGGCACTTTGAACACTTTAAAAAGGACCTTGAAAAATTTAAGGTTTTCTAATCTGAAACACAACTATCCAGTGTCTGTCACTGCAACACTGGACTCAGGAAGAGAAAATACGCCATAGGCAGATAAATGGTTGATTGAAATATTTGGATAAACTTATATTCAGTAAGAAAAAACAAATACATAATAAAAACACAATCAATTTTTCTGAGAAAGATTGACACTTTTGTGTGCAGTAGTGCAATACAGTATCTACAAAATCGGCTATATCCCATTAAGGCTATATCATAAACCTGAATATTTACTCAGTGCATTCTCTACACTGTGCATTATGATTTCTTGATCTAGTTATACCTTGCTAATATAAATCTGGAAATGTAAATGAGGTCTGGTAGAGACAAAAGAAACAAAATATGAAATGTACCTGTTGTTTTACCTTAGTAAGTCTGGTAGCAGCTGAACTATTTGATTCTGTAATTGAACTGTTGATGGGCTTTGGCTGAAACTAAGGCTGCTATAGTAATTGATTCAAGATGATGAAGTAGAAATTGATATAAAGACTGTATGATTGTAGTTTGAATTGATAGCAAGCTGAGTCAGCTTTATTTTCCAGTTGTTATAATTTTCCATCAATATATTTATATGGAAACCAATATTGTAATTTGAATATTTAACCCCAGATTTCAGTTTGTAGTTTACTCACGATCTTAATTTTTTAAAGTAGTAAGAATAAAAAGTTTCACAGTTTTAATTAGGTTGCTTTGGATATTTTTGCCATGTCAGATACCTGACAGCCTTCAGAGATGACTGAAGACTTGTCTGTAATCTATTCTATCTACTACATTTTCAATGCTTAGTAAGAAAGGGTCTGAGTAGCTGCTGGTCCTGTATGGTTTGCTTCTCAATTACCAGTTGAAACCAACATATTGGGTTAACTCCCCATTTTGTTTAATAAACAGGAGAAAGTCATCAAATGTTTAAAACTTAGAAATAGGAATAATAGTTATCTGATAAAACATGGTATTGAAGAATGTCAGACCTTATTTTGAACATCAGATGAACACTGCATTGTCCTACTGCTGCAAACCAAAGTCCAAAAAGAACAGCATTTCCTTACGGTTCTGTAGTCAGAGGCAGCCTGCAACCTTGCATAAATGAGATCTAAGACAAGCAAAGGATGTTAGAAACAGAAGCCACTGAAAATCACATTTTTTAATTAAGCTGCAAGCTCTACTCAAAATTATACAAACAAAATCGAAAATACATTCTCTCCCTAAGAGTTTCAAATTGTGCCCTTAGTTCCTCTAATATTAAAGCAAGGACAGAGTGCAAAAAAGCAATTTCTTTTGATGAATTACATGATTAGGTTCCAATTCAACTTTTATGATATCCTGTAACATTTAACACGGAGTGTCACTAGAAACATTAAAATTGCTATAAAACTTGCGTATAAAAGCATGAAATCTCTTTGCTGTATTAAACAGTTGTGCGGTTTCTGACTATTCAGAAAGTGCTGCTTCATTTCTGTTCATTAATTGCATTTGAGAACTGTGCAACTGCTGCCTATTCTATTTGCCTGAACATGGTGCCTAATAGGCACTCGCATCCATGATTTACCTGACATGCATCTAGAAGTGGCAGTATACAGCCATGATTTCGAAGCAATGGCAATTTCACTTTCTTTGCATGCAGCAGGCAGTGGTGTTTTGGGACTCAAATCGTATTAAAAGCTTGGAAGTTTCACATAGACTTTGGAAGGCCTGTAGGTTCCTAGCTCATCCTTCCCTTTGTTTCTTAAGGAAAACTTTTGTTTCTGATCAGGCAAGAAACATCACTTGTCTGTCTAGACATGCTACATACACAGGCACCACAAATGTCTTGAAGTCAGAAATAAAATTATGCTCACTGGACTCAAACCCAAATGTTTTATTTTTATTTAGAGTAAATAAAATAAACCCCAGAAATTAAATTTAGAATTCAAATGGTAGTTGAAGCCTGTACCTCACAATTAGAGTCTGGAAAACCCCTTCAACATTTAAGTTTAACTCTTCTGAGAAATCCCCCCTGACTCCTGTTTATAATTTAAGTCATATTTGGGTCATTATTTGATGGTCTAAGTGGGACTTAAGTTAGACAAAGGCTATATGCACTTCTCTGCTACCTTGAAATTTAAGCATACACCTATGCAGCTTGTAACATCTTTTCCTTCCATTTTTTTTAGTGTGGGGGTAGAAGCACCACTAGCTATTTTCAAAAGTGAGCTAGCACTTCACCATAGAAATTTTTTTTACAAGAATGGAGATGCAAGCTCCTGATACCGTTTCCAAAAATAACATATTGGTTCCTTTATTCAAGATCATATCACGTTAGCAGAGAAGCTGAGCATCTGATATGTAATCAATAAATGTGAGCATTTCACAGAAGCAAATTGCCCTCTGAGGAGGAATTGATCTCTAAAGATCATACTTTAAAAAATGTTCCATCTTTATGAATAAGAGATGGGGGTCATGTCAGGGTAATAAAAAGTCAGACTAGAAAAGAGATATTATATAATGAAATGCATTTATATGTGTTCCCTCCTGCTATCTTAATTATATCAGCATACAAAACCACAAGTGTTTCACCATTTGCAGCTGAGATTTTCATATGTTCCCTCGTCATTAAGATGGAAAGTCTCCCAGCAAATTTGTTGCATTTGTGCTTTTCCATTCTTATTTTACTTAAGTATGCTTCAAAATCCTGCTGTATTTCCACAAAATTCTAGATGCACCAGATTTGTCTGAGACACATGGTGATACCACCCCAGCATCTCAGATTATATCCTGCTAGAATTTAGATTTAACAGGAAGGGGAGACACCATTGTGTAAGTCTGCTGACTTTTAATATTTTCCTTATGTCATCCATCTACAACAAATTAAATGAAGCAAATAACAATGCACAGTAGAAAAAGCTTGTGATTTAAGAATTATATGGCTGACACATAAAGAAATTATGCCATCATTTATCATCAGCCTTTCTTGTATCTTTGAAGAACTTAATCTAATGTGGGAGCTCCCAAAAATAGGTTATAAAAATCATCTGCAGTTTGAAATCCATCAAATACTTTCTTTCATAGATAAGCTTCAGCTTTGGGGACAAAATGGAGGTTATATGAGAGACAGATATATCTCATTTAAAAGAAAGTGAGCTGGCTGGGAAGCTTACAAGATACAGAAAACTTCAATTGAGGAAGAAGTTAGTTGTGGACATTGATCCTGCTGCACTGTAGAAGCATTCGCCAGCACAGGGAATCATCATGGCTATACAGACTGATGTACAAAGTCCACCACTTTGACTCGCTCCTGTTGCTAACATTTAAAACAAGGAAAATGTGATTTCACTTAATAATGATAGAAGAGTAAAATGTTGCCTGGACCAAAACCGATCATATGCAACTTGTATGCTGTACTTCAAACACGAATGTAAGACTTGCGTGTACCTTATACTACAAAGTTTTTATTAGGTCTCTGTGACTGGGTGAATTTCTCCTGAAAGCCTGCTTTTAGAGCCATCATCATTGTGCCATCAACACCTGTGAGCACAGGCAGTGGCAGCGCTCCTATGAGGAATGATACACCTCATTTGCTTACTTGGGAACTTGTGTCTTCTTCCTTGGGGATGCAAACTGAGTAGGGATTAGTGAAACAATTCCGCAAAGTCCAGGAGATTAGGAGTCCAATGCTGGTGGGGGACATTTAACCACAACCTGACCAGGAAATCAAGCAAGAATGACAAAAGCCCTTCTTTTGTTTATCTCTTCCTGGAAAAATCTGGGTTTCTGGACCCGAGTAGCAGAGGCAGTATCTGTCACATGAGACTTGGAAATGCATAACTGAAGTGTTGAAAAAGCTTTGGTGATTTGGGATGGTTAGCTACCTTCCTTCTTTAAGGGCCTTCTGGGGACTCCCATTCAGCCATTTGTTACCCATTCATCACAGAGAACTTAAAAGGTCCTGGGCTGGGGTAAAGAGGACCACTCCAGCGAGGCTGGTGGATTTAGGCTGTCGTACTCCAAGGTTCAGACCCAAAGCTTGGACAAAGCAGACTCCTTTTTTAATTTCTTAGTGAATCCTTATGCAGTGCAAAACTGCCCTGCCTTTGGGCACATGTAGTACATGTTTTATTCTCTCTTTGTCTCTCTTCAGTATATCTTTTTATATACAGTACTAGGCATATGTAAATCAATATATATAAACTGTCACAAACTTGTGCCTGATTGTAAAATGCAAAACATATTGAAGAGAAACTAAATAACAAAAAAGTTGAAGAAAGTTTTTTTTTTTTATCGAAGTAACAAAGCCACATATGTTGAAAAAGCTGTTTGGAAGTGATTCAATGTTACGGTTAATTTAAAATGCAGTATTTGTTACGGCTTCAGAGTATTTCCTACTAGTTGTTACAGGAAAGAGTGGTTTTGTGTTCACACAGGCACGGTGGGATGGCTTGACAGGGCGCATAACCTTCAACAAAACGGATGGCTTACGGAAGGATTTTGATTTGGACATTATTAGCCTCAAGGAGGAAGGAACAGAAAAGGTAACCAGATCTTTCATAAAACAATGACAAAAATCTAATCTGGCAGGGGTGTAGGAAAGTCCATTCTCCTCAGCTTGAACCTCCTGTGCTTGGGGTACAAACTGCTATTCATAAGATTATTTAAGTCAAAGTTAAAACAGAGCTACTAATATTTTTTTTAATTATTTTACAATGTGTACCTTGCATTTTTAAGTGTGGGATAGGAATTTGGGACTGGCAATAATTATCTGAATGGAAATAATTATTTTAAGTGCACATTATTGACAGTTCTTGCCACTGCAACTTGGTGTGGTAAATTCATATATATAGATAAAAGCTAGACCTATCTTACATGTACTGTTTCTGATAAATGTGGCATGAAGGAGAGAGGAAAGAAGGTGCTTGAGTAATAACCTCATCAAGAGTTGAGATATTAAAAATGCCTCATGTTTTTGAGATTAGATTGGTTCTTTTTCCCTAACATCCCTAACTGCTTGTCATAAATTGTGCTGATATGGTGAGACTACAGGGGACTGAGTGAGTTGTAGCATCTTTGTTTGAAAACAGAAAGTTCTGCATGATACAATTTCAGAAACTGGTTCTGTGTTCAAACAAAAAACAAATAAAATTCACATTCCTTCAGGACACTAAGGGAAGCATGCCTCTGGGAAAAACAAACAAACAAACAAACAAACAGAAAACTGAAAAACCCGTGTCAAAATATCTTGTTTTCCTTACTTTACCACTTATAAATTCTGCTGAAGATGCAGAGGTGTAAGGCAGGGAGTGCTCCTTGACTTGCGGAGACCACAGGAAGGAGCCCAAAGCTGGACGGCGCCGCTGCTGGCATCTGAACACTGCCACCACCAGCTGGGGCCCATGCTGGAGACTGAGGGGGACTTGGCAGGGTCCTGGAGGGAGGCGGGATGGCCTTGCCCCAACCCTCAGCCAGCAAACGTGGCCTCCCAATGGACACCGCAGGGCTCCCTCCACCACAGCCTGGGAGGTGGCTGCTGTGGGTGTCCAAAAATCCCTAACACAGGTAACACCACGGGCTCATGTCAGCTGGAGGCAGCATTGTCCCTTGCTCTCCGTACACTGGCTTGACTCCGAATGATAATTGCTAATGGGTTAATTGAGACTTTAAATGTAATTGCTCCCACACAGCTCTCCAGACTGGTTTTCTTTTAATTTTTAATGAAGCACTCTGTTTATTTTTCTCTGTACCAAGGCTGCTGGCGAGGTTTCTAATCATTTATATAAAGTGTGGAAGAAGGTTTGTACACAGATGGGTGATGCAAAAAACCTTTGGGCTGGGTCTTCAGACTCATCCTTTGGGTTTTGATAGTGACCCTCATATTGCAGTTTAGAGACAACAGTCAATCCGAGAGTATGAATTTTTCCAGTAGAATAAGTTTCATCCCAAGTCGAGACACTGGAATTCCAAATAGTAAAAGCATCTTGTCAGGATTCAGCTTTTTCACAAAAATTTTGTTTTAATTATTATTTTCTTTCTTGGGAGCTGTGCTTTTCTCCTTTTAGATAGAGGCTCCTGGCTACAGCAAAAGCAGTACTTTTCTCAGCTGTTATCATTTCTGATTCACCTAAGATTCACCATGAGTGGTATATTTGCACCGTTTTGAATGTGTATTAGCATCAGCAGCAAGGACCGTTTTAACGTGCACGGCTGGGATATTTTTGCCTCCCACAAAATGCGTACTGTGCAGGCAATGTTCAAGCATTGTTGACTCAAAATTTTGACAACTGTGTTATTAGCTCCTTACAGAAAATAATATAGATGATTAAGTGGATACTGTCATTCACTAACACATGGAAATTGGAACTAAGCTTGTTTGTAAAAGTTCTAAACTATGCCAGGAATCTCAGCCCTCTTTTAATGAGGTGACTCTGCCTGGTGGATAAAGCACTGAAGTGGAAGTTGGAGACCAGCATCTCCATGTGCTGATCCCCACTGGAGGTACAACCCACAGTTGCCATTCTGTAAGGAGAAGATAACAACTGCATTTGCCGTGTTTAAAGTGTTCTGGAGTCACAAGATAAAAATTTCTATAACACTTAGAATTATATTTTTTATGTATTTCACACAGATCTTATTATTTCCCACCCCCCACACATACACAGTTTAAAAAGGTTTTGGTTTTGTGTTGTTTTGAGAGGGATTTTAATGCTACAGAGTAGACCAGCGCAAAACATCCTATAGCACACTTTTTGTGTTCTTATAGAGCACATACTTAATAACCTTGTTTTAATCTTCAGTGAATCAGGCTAAGCCACAAAGGACCCCATTTCCCTCATTACTGGTGAATAGATCATCCTACCTGACATGCAGAACGCTATTGAACCAATCTCGCTTTTGACTCTAGGCATTTCGTGTTATGCTGAATTGATTTAAACCAAATTACAATTGGTTCAGAGCACAGGCTTGCTGAGAAGGGCATATGACACCTCTCAAACTTGTCACTAAACTGCAATAAATCCCCTGGATTCACCATAGTGATGTACTACCTTGGCCTCATTCTTCCAGTGCCCCTCTGACCTCCTCCATTGCTCTAATCAAGGTTGACCTGCGGTGTCATTCTTTTATACAGACTTAGAGTGGTCTCCTGGTGTATTTTGTATGCACTGTGACTGTGTCGCTCCATGTTCTTCATGGGTGTTCTCCTCTTCCCTGCTGCCAGCTGATAAAAGCATATCAAGTCAGTAACAATGAGCAGAACAGCTTTTTGATTAACTCAGCCACCTTGGTGCAAATTCAAGGACACTGCTTATTTACTATATTCCTGGCACAGGCTATCATAATATCCAACATTTTATTTCGTGTGTACTTTCCAGATCAGTTTCCCAACCTGATCTATTTTTGGAAACAAAGGGAATGACCGATAAACACTTGAAAAAATTATTAAAAAAAATGGCATGACTAACCCCATTAAGCACACTTTGGAAAAAAAGTTTGCAAAAGGCAAAAGCAATGGCACCCAGGGACACAAACACAAAGTCTGTTTGAAATTATACAGTTATTACTCCAAATCCACACTCAGCAGGCACAAACTAATCTGCTGGGTTTGGTACGAAGGCAACACCATCTCTGCCTCAGTTAACGACCAAAGAAAAAGAGTCCAGCCTGGGTCTGAAATGACTGAGCATCTTATGGCAGATAGAGACCTTCAGTACACAGGAGAAGTCAGCGGGTTTTGTCTTAGACTTACTTGGCAGCTTTGCTGGCAATCCCAGCAGAGAAGATCTGAAAGCGGATCCCTCCCGGGTAGAGCTGCAACATGCTGGCAGAGCAGCACGGCAACGTAAAGGGCTCTGTGGATGGCTAATGTCAGACCCCCAAGCCATCCGTCTGGTGCTCTCCACAAATGTTCAATACAAACTCCACTGCCTGAGCCAGCCCCTTGCCTGGAGTTTTCTCACAACAGCCCTCAGCCACACTGCATACGTAAATTTAAAGGCAAAAAAACCTGAAGATGCTTTCAGACTGCATTTATGTTAAGTAAATATATGTCTAAATAAATCAACGTGGTTACAATTTCTGCCCTCACAAGGTGTAGATCCAAATCCACTGAAATCGTGAAGATCTTTCCCTTGAGGCTTTGGATTGGGCATTAAATACTGCAATTCCTCACTATCTCTGGGGCTAGAAAGGAATTTGCCTTTGTCCACTTATATTTACTGAGCAAATACTGATCAGTGGGTGAAATGGTATCACGTTGCTAGCTCTGTCATATATAGTAGTCAAGAAATGACAGAATAATCTTTGCTAAACCTGCTGAAGGCACAGCGGAAGCAAGAGGCCAGTGTATCCATCAATCTGCTTCAACATACTTATTCAAGCTTTTAATCTGTTGTACTGGAAAAGAAAGGTCTTGCCATATGTTTCAATTCTACTGTTTACAAAAATAAAAAAAAATCATAAAAATAGACATTTGACACTTTTTAGCAGGAAACAAAGTCAACATGTTCCACTTTTATAGCAAATTGCCAATACACCACTGTATTGACATGCCTTATACTCTTACAGTTTATTCATTTCCACCTGCTTTTGAAAGGGCAGTATGTTCCCTGTGTTTTCTAAATCAGCCATTTGATGTTGCTGCCTTACTCAGACCTACGGCCATTTCCCTTCTCTAGCATTTTGTACTGCTGGTGTCTCTTTCTGTGGTGACTAGAGCCAGTGCACTCTTCCTAGGCGGTGAGCATTTAGGGAAATATTTCAGCTTGCTGCAGCCGGGCAGCTGCTCACCTGCTCTCTTCTGTGCAGATTGGGGTTTGGAACTCATATAGTGGCCTTAACATGACGGACAGCAACAAGGGCCAATCGACCAACATCACGGATTCCTTGGCTAACCGGACGCTTATTGTCACCACCATTTTGGTAAGTCTCGCTGGGCGGATGTGACACCATCAGCTGCGCTGATGCAGGCACTGCTGACGGTGGGTTGCGGGGCCTCCGCGGTCACCTTTGCACCTCCGCCCTGCACCCCACGGCTGTTTTCCTCCACACTAAACAATGTTTTGTTAAACTAGCCTGTTTTCAAGCAAATTTTTTGATTTAGACTCAGAATCGACATACACAGCCATCTATCCAAAAGACTGATTCAAAAATACCCCACTGCCGGTGAAAGACTCTCAGGAACCTCCACCTCCAAAATTGTTTAGCTTACTTCAATATTTCAGAGACGAACTCTGCATACTTTTCTTCCCAGAAGAATTAATACACACAAATACTCAGCTTTGTAGTCAGTGCTTATACAGCCTTCCTTTTTACTGAAAATGAGATGAAGAGGACTGAAAGAAAGTAGCAAACAGTGGATAGACAGATTGAGGTATGTTCTTACTATGATAAATGGAAAATATGCAACTGGGTATTCACGAGTTGTTCTGCCCTGTGGTGCTTTCTCCGTGGCCAGTAATGCCACTTTTTTCAATTATTCTGCCTAATTCCTCAGGAGGAGGGAGAGCTCAAAGGCTCCCTTCACACTCCTTTTCTATTGCCAGAGGTCTTTTGCCACATTAAACAGGAGAAACCTGCTTGCCCAGACTGTCTTCTATCCAAAATCCTTTAAAAAGAAAAGCAACAAGGTACTTCGCAACCTACCTATGATGTTCTCCATTCTATCATGTGAATACCTGCTCACCTCAGAGCTATTTTGTGCATTTGAAGATTTTTTTCAATAAAGATTTATTTCTCACAGAATGTAAAAGTTTAGTTCCCCTTATGATTCTTTTTCTGTTATTTAGGCTTCTCTGTCCTTCAGTATCCCTTCCTGTCCCTTAGGGTTGGCCAATGTAGAGTACAGGTCTTGGGTGTGATTTTGGAGCTGCTAAGCACTACTTTAATTGAAGCTCCTGGGAGTTATGAATGGTCTGTTCCACTGAAAATTAGGGCCTTATGCTTATCATTAAGTGATTCAGTCAATTTGTTAACACACCTAAAACAGCTTTTAATGGACACAGTAAATTACTGGTTTCCATCTAACTGCAATCCATAAAATATTAACATAATTTAGAGAAACTGATATAATCTGAAACAAACCTCATTTCTATTGCTACATGTCTACTGTCTTTTTCTATAGGAAGATCCCTATGTTATGTACAAGAAGTCTGACAAGCCCTTGTATGGAAATGACAGATTTGAGGGTTATTGCCTGGATTTACTAAAGGAGCTGTCAAATATTTTAGGCTTCATCTATGAGGTCAAACTAGTTTCTGATGGTAAATATGGAGCCCAGAATGACAAAGGAGAGTGGAATGGGATGGTCAAGGAACTCATAGATCATGTAAGATTGAATCCTTCTCTCTTTATTCTCCTTTAATCTGTGGTATATTATATGAAGCCAGCCCAAATGAAATCTTTGCTTTAGTTTTCATTTTTTTAGAGCCACTGGTCTGTCTTTATTGCCATTTGTCAGAGTAGGAAGTCATGTCAGTATGTCTGAACCAACAGGCTGCGGGTGTTGGGGGCAACCTCCATCTGCGGTGGGGCAGCGGGCACTGAGCCAGCGCAGGTCCTGCCCACCCCTTGGCTACAAACGCCAACAGCAAAGGCTGAGCTTCCAGCTCACCTCTGCCCTGCGGCAGCCGCTGATCTGTGGACGTAGTCCCTGCCCAGACACTGGCAGTCCTCGCTCGCAGTCTGCCCTCTTGCACTGGACCAAGCCCCACGTCCCTGTCATACCTCTGCTACTCACATGCAAGTCACAAATACCCCTCTGCCTGCAGAAGAGGAAACAGATTGTCATGTACCAAACAATACCCTCACAATGTTGAATTTTGTCACACACTTCAGATATATAGTCAAATTTGGTTTAGTTTTTAATACTTGGGGGAAAAAATAGAAGGAATAGTAGTGCATTTGCTGAACATGAAAAAGAATGAGTATTTTCCCATTTGTGTTTTCAGAAAGCTGATCTGGCTGTTGCTCCTCTCACTATTACCTATGTAAGAGAGAAAGTAATTGATTTTTCCAAGCCCTTCATGACGCTGGGAATCAGTATCTTGTACCGGAAGCCCAATGGGACAAACCCTGGTGTTTTCTCCTTTTTAAACCCTCTTTCTCCTGATATTTGGATGTATGTTCTCCTAGCCTGCCTTGGAGTCAGTTGTGTCCTCTTTGTCATTGCAAGGTAAGTTGAAGACGTAGTTTTAGATGCATTCACATTAACTGCCTCTCCTCCCATAGGTAATGCATGGGGTCTGCAAATTAAATATAGTATAACACTATCCTAAGGGTTTTATCTGGTCCTAAAACGTAACATTCTAGAAAGTCTCTTGGTATTTTCACATCAAGACTGCTATCACTTTTATATATTGCAATGTGATGAAATTTTACTTTCCTCAAGGGCTGAACAGAGAGAAATATCCGATGAAATGTGTCAGCCTGTCTTTGTCAGTACACGACACCTCAGCAGACTACATGTTGAAAAGCAGTTTATATTACTTGCATGTAGGCACTTCTCTTTTCCACTAACAGTGCATACAGTTAAAAGGTAAGAAAGAGGATGTGAACATATTTTTGCTGAAGGATGTTAATTAGCTCAGCCAATTTCCCCTTGAAAATACAAGATAACGTAACTGGGAACCAGAGGGGACATTCGGCAAGATGATGTATACCGAAGGCTCTCTCCCAGTGTTGTCCTGAGGTGCACCCTACCTGTCAGTGGCAGGTTCCAGGTGATGGTCCTATTCAAAACCAGCAGGAAAGAAGCAAGTACACACCACTCTTCCAAATGAGGCCAAAGCTCATAATGTTCTCAAAGGGAGGTGTGCCACAAAGTTTCTGGACCAGTGGGCCACAGTCACATCTCCAGAGGGCCAGCAGAGCCCTCTATACCCTTATCATTGAACTTTACCTTAAAAACTCTAGACAGCTGATATGGTTTCACAAACTAGATACAAGTTACTTATCATGGCCTCAGAGACCATGGACCACTGTCTGGGAGTCAGTTGCACTAGAGCTTTGAACAAGAGCAAACTAAACATGAAAGAAAATGAACTTAGAAACTTGACAGAGGAAATTGGTCATTTGAGGCATACTTTTTTCTATACTCCTGAATAAATCTGGACTCTGAACTGGCATAGTTATTGTCCTTTTCATCAGATAGCAGCCTTGGAATTTCATTTCCAACTCTGTTTATTTGATCTCATCTTATCCTTAATTTTTTCCTTTTTATAATTTAAAACATAATTTTTTTTATTAGTGCTTCACAGAGATTCATGTTTTGGGTCTGTTTACTGAGGATCCCTACTGAAACCTTTCCCCATTTCCATTATATATTGTTTTGCATATACAACAATATATCCCACCTAAATAAAGTGTATGGAAAACAGCCCAAGAAAACATTTATACTATGAAATACAAGAACCGAAGTGATGTAACACTGGAAGTCCATACATTCACATCACAACAAAAGTAACAGAAAAGCTGCAGTTTTTGTTGCAAATGATTACATTCAACTTTAAGAAGTCAGCAATAATGTACATTATCCAATGCATGCTTATATATACCTCATTCAAAGGTCATAAAATAATTGTAATCTGAATGATTAATTCTGATAATATAACACATTTATGCCTGACTTCCACTTCTGTGTGAGACAGGTCAAATTAAGCTCCTGCTGCTTTTCCTCCAATTTACTGTTTTCTTTTAATCAAAAGATGCAGCCCTGCAAAACCTTTATTCACATGAGCAGTTCTGCTGAGAGTGACTGGCCTCGGACATACATTTCTCTGTGGTCCACTGAACAACCCTTGTTCCAGGTGGACAACATATGTGAACACTTTGCTTGTTTGCATGTTTTTATACTGGTACCAAAGTACAGAAATTTGTGGGATTTGCTTTTGCCTTTAAATTGCTGAGAATGTGAAGAAGGACGAGGGAATTAGAGGAGGAGAGGTCATGGGTTAACTTATTAGTGTTGGCCCTAGGTAAAAGAGAGAGTTTATCCACCCCTGGCAGCTATGGGACTGTATACAATTAGTCATGACTTCCCACAAGCTCTTGCAGTGGCTCACTGTACCATAAATAATAACTCTTACTGTACGCAAATCATGATCTCATTCATGACTAATATTAAATCTGCTCGACTGTGACAGATTGACTTTTCTGCAGTTGTGTGCCAAGACTAAAAACATCCCACAGTCCTCTGCACCTCAGAACAGGCGGAAGGAAAAACAAAGACCACGTTATCCTCTGTGCTTCTATTTTTTAAAATAACATCATCAAGTCTGCAAGAATAAATAAGCATCAGGGTCCTCTGTCTCCTCCAGAGCTGCCTACACGCAGACGCACAGCCAGGAGCAAACCAAATGGAAATGCACAGAGCTTACAAATCATCGGCTGTGAAACCTGTTTGCTTTTCTTTCTTGGCTGTTAAATATTACTCCAAATCACAGTGTAGCCTTTGGGTAAATTCATAGGTTCACCCTGTGTAACTGTGTTATGGTTTGTTTCTGAAATCTTTCTAAAAAGCAGTAGTTCCAGGAGCAGCATAACTAATGAAGCCTGATTTCCCTACAGATTTGTGTCTCATGGTGGATTGTGATCGCCAGTTGAAGTTTGTTTGTCTGTGTGTTTGCTTCCCCTGCAGCTGAAGGATTTATAGGTGATCTTTCCCATGCGCATTAACTGATACGTAATGAGTTGTGAGCTCATCTGCAGCTTCTCTCCTAGTGGGGCTACTCCTGCAATGTTTCACAATACTTGCATGAGCATAACAACCTCTAAGGCCTCTACCTATTTGTCAGATGTGGCTAAAATCAGCTAAAAGGCTTAAATGTCATTAGAGGTATAGACCCACACACATTCATAACACACAGCACAAAACACGACTTGTAACAAATATATCAAGTTTGCATATCATTCTTATAACCCACCTATTTTAGGAAAAGAGGAGAAGAACACACTAGTTCAGCAAGACCGTTAATACAATTCTCTGAATGTTTAATTTTTTCCTGCCATAAATGCTTTTTTTGAACTGATGCCTAAAACCACTGCCTAATTGGATCGTGACTATATAGGCTGAAGTACACAAAACTGTGTTCACATGTAATCTTAATTTACTTTAGACTTTATAAATTTTAATTTACTCCAAGAAGCTAAGCCATTCCTATAGTCCATACCTAGACCTGTTCATGTCTCCAAACATGTCAATGTTTCTGTAAGATTTGCCAAGTGTTTCAGCAAATAGTGGTTAGATTGGTTTTAAGAACCTCAGGAAGCATCCACTTAACACTGCCACAGTAAATTAAATGGTTAACAGTATTTTGACGTCAGTTCCTGGAAGACAAATACCTGGGAATAATTTTCATAGACTGGGATAATCTTCATGTTATTTCTTCAGACTTTTCAGCAGCTGAATAATTTCTCATTTGTCTTTGAGCCTTACGTAGCCCTGTTATTGTTATATTAATTTTTAAACACAAACACTGACGTTTCTATCACTGTGAAGGGTTACAGACTGAGAAAGCTCTTTTCCTAAGTACACTGGCAGTGAATGAACAAGGCATTTTCTTCCCTTTACTGCTAATGCCGTATCAGCTGTGCCGTTGATGTCAATGATGGTGCAGATAGGTAGCTGAGATAACCATCAGTGGTGAATAAATTCACGCAGAGCCTATATAAAAAGGTGCTTATGAGACCTTGAGCATCTCATCTTTATCAGAAAACTCAGCATAGCTAGCTGAAGGTCTGACAGGGAGAAAACCAGGGGAAAATAGCCAGTAAAACAGAAGGCCTGAGCAGTGAAAGCAAGCAGAATTCTAAGCCAGCCTCTTCTTAGAGCTCAGCACAGCAGTAGAAAAACAATGAGAAAATCAGCTTTTCTTTCAAGGTGAAAAAGAAATATATATCCTAGTACAACACTAAAATATATACCCAGTGCTATAAAAATCTTTCCAGTCTGGCAGTAAGAGTTTTGCTGCCAGTGCTTCATTGCCACTTTCTAGCAACTTCATTTTTGCTCTTTTGGTGATGGAGGTATTTGTCTCCAACCTACTAAACACGGTTGTCTGAAATGATGCAAGGTCCCAGCCTTGGGCTTCCCACTGATGTCAGTCAGAGTTATTTGGACATCTTCTTACTGTCCCGTGTTAACAGCCTAGGACCCTGTGGGTGAACACTCAGCACGGGACCTCTTCACTTCTATGGTGGTTGGCAGCTCAGGCAACCTACAGGTCATAATTCTGGGTCTCTTGTTAAGGATGTGTTTCCCCACGTGTGCACAAACTGAGTTGGGAACAATTTTGTTACTACACAATGGTGGGTTCCATTATTCTAGCACAAATTTGAAACATATAACTTGGTGATTGCTCTTCTTTTAACTGGTGTATGCAGAACTGTTGTATTTTGAACCTGAAAACTGTGTCTTCTGTTATGATTCCTAACACTATCATGCTAGTAATGGTAATATTGTGCAGCTAATAGCATCCTAAGCTACATACTGTTTCAGTCAGCGGGTTCATTACTATCAGAGTTCATTACTTCAGCTAAGCAAGGCATTCTGCTTGCAACCGTGCATAAATTCGATGCTTAATTATATTGTTGAAACAGTGATTAAAATGTATTGGCATGACATTGTCAATTAAAGCTATATTCATAAACTTCATGAGGAAGTATGCAGCAAGCCACGCAGCAGCGGGAAGCAACAGCAGGCAATGTACCTTGGGGAGAAACAGTCCTTAACATAACTCTGCCACGTGTCGCGCAGAGAAGGGGCACGGTTTGCAGTTGCAGGACAGTGCATGGGGAATAGAGCAGAGTTCTTCTGTTAAAGGTAATCCTCTGCTTAATCTTCTCCCTGCAATGCCGACAATGCGACCTTATGGCTTTCAGGCACTGCGATTGCTCCTGAACGCCTCCAAAGGATCGGCAGCCTTTTCTTTCCACTGCCACGGCAGCCTTGCGCAAGGGAGAGCATGTTCAGCGTTCAGCATCTCAACTACAGACAGCTAACCATGGTTGCCTTTAGAGGGCTGCTACTCCTTCATTATTTTCTAAATGCTTTAACAAGGAGCAGCTATGTGGCTTCCAGTTGTCCCCAGCCCCTGCAAATGTCTGTCTGTCTGTCTGTCAGTGGTGCAGGCAGGGAAGCCGTGGGGCGTTGCAGCAGTCTCACCCTTGAGGGCTTTAACCCGAGAACGGGAAGAGTAAGGGAGTAGCCCTGTGCTGGATCCGGGACTGTGAAAATGGCTCCTGGCATCGCAGCGCTGCTCCACAGCTTGCACGAGGCAGCTGCGAGACGTCCTGCGGACAGCCTTTCAGCTGAGGTTTTCTTTTTCTTGTTTCCTTCATTAACCTCCTCGCTTTGTGCGTTGTTCAGCAGGTTTGCTGCCGCTGTGTGTACTCTATTTGATGTTTACAGATTGTTTCTGTTAACTGCCACAGGTTTACACCATATGAATGGTATAACCCCCACCCGTGCAACCCAGACTCAGATGTGGTGGAAAACAATTTTACTTTACTAAATAGTTTCTGGTTTGGAGTTGGAGCTCTCATGCAGCAAGGTACACCGGTTACACTTTGTTATCGCACACGTCCCACAGTCTGCTCAAGGGCTTCTGTGCTGGTAAACTCCACCCTCTGTAATTACAATATATATACTGTAAAACTGATCTCAGAAACTAAGCAATAGACAAAGGAAGAAAACAACGTGCCACTGCAACAGGGAACAGGCAGAGGAGGGGAACCTAGGAAACACAGAGTAGGGCTGCAGCAGGAGGAAGGTGGGGAAGCATCTGAGAGGAAGGGAAGCGGACAGGGTCACACGGGAGTTTCTGGAGCTGAAATGTAAAATAATCACAAGAGGGATATGAAGTACTTCATGCTGAAGTTGTGTTTACTGGTATAACAGGTTTGGCAACAGGAAAATGTTGGGCTCCATCCCAACGGAAAGAGTAATAGCCTTAGCTACCCTAGAAAAACTGTTTAAACTGCCAAACAAAAAAAGATGCTCTTTCCTCAGAAGGGTTGTTAAGTTTGTTGGCACTTGTCAAACACTTTGTTGAAAACCAAAACCAAACCTTTTTTTTTATGGCTTTTCTGCAGGTATGAGTCCCATCCTTGTGTAAATGCATCCAACCCTAGAAGCATTAACTTAACCCAGTCACAAGTCCCTGTTGCTGATGATTTTGGAAACAGCTGACATTTTACTCAGTTGACAAGGAAGGGCAGTGAAGCTTACTCCATATGGGAAGTCAAACAAATATGTGTACTAAACACATTTATGGCATGTGTGTTCTAAGGTTTCCAATTAAATCACTATTGACCAAAACTGTGGTCCACTGAAAAGAATGAAAATATTTTCTGACAAACATTTCAAGATGAATCAAAGCTGAACAAAAAAACCCCACCCATGACAACAACCAAAAGGCAATCCAGACGAAAGCCCAGCAGTACCTTGGTATTAAATCCTTAAACATTTAAGTAAGGAATATAAAACCACCTCTGCATTCATCCAGGTACATTTTATTCTTCCCTCTTTAACAGACATGAGTAGCATTAAAAAAAAAAAGAGAAGTATTTTTTCCTACATATGGTAGAGAATGAAGTTTGTGTTGTACCAAAGATGCACTTGTTTTTATTGGTGCACTAATGTATTGACAGGATATAGAGCTTCCTCATAGAAATGACTTTGAAGGAGGTTGGATGAAGGAAGAGCTGTTCTGTTTTGCTTTTTTGTTTTGTTTTCCTTCCAATTTATCAGTAAAACACAGGCTGAGGTTTTACAGTATCAGGCAGGTGTGTGCATATAACTGTGATTGCCCTGTGTGTGAAAGTGCCCCAGGATTTTGTGTTTCAATGTACTGCCTTTTTTGGAGTTTACCATCATCCACAGCAAACTGTGGGATGCAGTGTCAGCTCGTTACCACTACCTTGGGTACATGACAGTCAGCCCCAACCAGACTCTGCTTGTCTTTCAAGAAGATTAAAAACAAAACAAAAGAAAGAAAGAAAGAAAGAAAAAAACATTTGTAAGGCAACACAAATGTTTCCGTGTACGAACTTGTGGTGCGTGTGATTGTAAGTGCATCATTGTTAACGTGAAGAGTTTGAACATGATGTGAATGGTTGTGAAACTCTGCATCTAGCGTTATGCTCTTTGTTGTTGGCAGCAGCTGCTTGTTATGCTTGATTGGAAGCCACTTGTTATTAAATTTTAAAATGTGATGATCAGACTTTCTCTTTTCTACAGAGCGTGAGCAAAGTCTGGATCAGGATTGGCTGTCATGTCTGCCATAAAAAGGCACTAGAGAGACTCCAGCAAGTATTGTCTCTGACCCCAAGTCTTGCTAGCAACGTTTTTATTTAGACGTTACTTCCCCTGTTTTTCCTCTGAAAGTCTCAGATGTCTTATGCATACTCTGAAAGCATCCAAACAGGGCACATTCCATCCAATCCATCCAGAGAAACGATCACTTTCAGAAAGGCAGGCTACCCATCAGAGCCCCAGTTCAGCCAGGTGATGGGTCAGACCAGAACTATCCCATTAAGGAGAGCGCTTAGGGCAAAGTCAGTAAGCATGGAGCATATATTAATGCTTTTTGCTGGAATCAAGGCCCTCGAAAAGGTGAACATTGAAATAATCATGGGAGTGATCAAAAGAGATGCTGGGCCCGTGTGGTTCAGCTGGGAGCAGAGTGTGCTCAGCACCTCACCAAAGCAAAACAGTAGCTCACTGCATAATTAATAGACTCTGGCATCTCGAGCTTAATTGACCTGAACGTATTCTGCTGCTTTTTCACAAACAACTTTTTGCTAGAGGAAATCACAGGATGTTTGGCATCTCACCCCACAAATTCAGCACACAGGGCTTCTCCGCCTACTCTCTTGTGCCGCTGTAAGGCTGCGTTGGCAGATTTCATGCTTGCTTGTTAAGATATCTGCAAGGTATCTGGCTATTATGCATTGCTGGGATGCATGTGTCAGACCTAGGTATTACATCAGGGTCCAAGTGTAGAAATTATATTTGTATAGTTGTCTAAGCTTACAAAAAAATAATACCTTCAGGATGACCTGAATCAGCACTCCTAGAAGCCAGCTTTTGCAGGTCAACCCCAGCTTAGAAATAAACACACACTTTTCCTGAGAGCAACAATACATAAAAGGAAAAGGTTTCATTGTACTGAAAAAAAAATCTAATCTGAAAAGCAAGAAAGCACAACAGACCACAAACATAAACCCAGATAGAGCTACAGCTCTTGAAATGGGTATATTTGGACTTGAAAATTTCAAGTCAGAGTTTCTGCTTTTAGACTGCTGGCTTAATTTGAAATCTGTGCAGCACCAGGGCTGCACAGGCCTGCACAGGCAGAGCATCTGCTCTCGCAGTTTGGCAATTCTGTCAACCTACCCAAACCCTTGGGCTATGCTTAGCTTTGACCTTTAAGAAATGTGTCTATACATTTACAAAGCTAAGTTAAATCTGTTTGCTGGTTGTTTGGGAAGTTTTTACTTTTTTTGTCTTTGCCCCAAAAATCTCATTCAGAGTTTTTGCAAAGTCTGAAAATGTTCTCTGTAATGTTCAAATTTCTTACAGAAATCATTAAATAGCTGGGGAGAGATAATATGTCAACAAATTTTTCCAGTAATAGAAATATGTTTGTCATATCAAAAGTTTTATGTGCTGAGATCTCAGTTCACAGGCACTTAAGTACTTTCTTAAGTCCATCCTTCATCAACAAAATAATTATGCAAAGGCTTAACTTTGAAGTCAAAAGTATGCAAGTGGCTGCCTAAGTGCTTTGCTGAACCAGATCCTTGAATCCCACATGATGAGCTATGTTCAATGGGGATGCCTCTAGGAAAAACAGCACAAAATTTGCATCAGAATGCTTAGAAATACGAGTACCTGTATGGTTTAAATACAGTTTTTCTGAGCTGTTTAGAAGCCGAGCACTTAACACTGTGCTGTTCTGTGGGGTTTTATGACAGTGGCAGATCACTTTGATATTTGTCAGTGTGACATGCAGGCAGATCTGCTAAAACCTTTTCAGCAATAATGAGTGTTAAATACACTGCCCAAAACTTTGCATTGCCCTGTAGATCCAAAGGATATCTCCATTCACTGTCTGAACTTTCAAACGTAAACCACACATTTGTAATAAGACGTGTTCTGGTTTTTGAGCTCAGGTTCACACAGGTTGATGAGTTCACTGAAACCGTATTGATCACCCTGTTTCTGCTTAGGTATGTCGATAGGATGCACAGGGCAGGTTTCTCTTGTATTTTTGCCAGGTAGCTTGTAAGCAGAAAAACATTCTGCTAAATATCTCTGATTAAAAAATTGATTACAGTATAGTGGCAAAAAGGGATTGAGGAAATGGACAAAAATACTAGTGTAGCTTGCTGGGTAAGAGGTTAATATTGCAATGAGCATTAGCTCAGAGATGTAATGGGGCTTAGACCCAAGGATAATTCCATTTGTCATCTATCATGACACACATCCCCTTCACAGTGTGTTACCATTATAAATGTTAGCTGTGCATCTGTGAGATTATTGTTTAAATCATTTTATCATACTACAGCTCATAAAAGCATTCCGTGCCTAAAAACAGTCTGTGGTATCAGCAAAGGCACCTTTCAGCTTCATTTTAATATGATTGTTTTGATGATATTGTAACAGGATCAGAGCTGATGCCCAAAGCTCTTTCTACCAGAATAGTTGGAGGAATATGGTGGTTTTTCACCTTAATCATAATCTCATCCTATACTGCCAACCTGGCTGCCTTCCTGACCGTGGAGAGGATGGAATCCCCCATTGATTCAGCAGATGATTTGGCAAAGCAAACCAAGATAGAGTATGGGGCTGTTAGAGATGGATCCACAATGACCTTCTTCAAGGTAAGACGGCGTCAGCCAGCTCTGTACAGTCGGACTGACTCATGGCCCTCCAGCGATAAATGGTGAGGCAGAATCACAACAGCTGGAAGGATTAGCGTAATAGGTAAATACATCATTTGCCCAAATCCATAGAGGATTCTTCAGCAATATTAATGCAAAAGATGGGAGATTTTCCCCCAAGGCATATGGAGAAACAATCTGATGCTGTACTGCTGTGAGGGTCAAACCCATGCCTTTGATGGGAGAATCTGAAGAAAACCAGGGCATGGACATGGGGACATTCTACTCCAGGTTGTTTCTCAGGGCAGGATCTCAGCTTCTTACAGCCATTTGGCTAAGATCAATTCTGAAGGTCAGATTTGCACCAGAAAAATACTGCAGGTAGTCAAAATGCAAGGTTGTTTGTCCCTTTTTTAAAATGGGCCATGGTCAATATTATCCAGACTATTAATATAGCGGCCACATACACGCATGAACACATCTGTAAGTAAAAGATCATTTTCTGTGGCTAATTGCTTTGTAGAAACTGCATTCTTTTTTTTTTTTCCCTATTAGTATTAATTGCATACAAAATGGGTTAATCTCATAAAATGTCAATGTAAAAGCCAACAAGATATAAATATAGGATATATACACAAAAATCCCATGACAATTAGAATTAATTAGCAGCTTCATCGGTAGTCTCAGCAGGGAAGTTAAGCACTGAATGAACTGGTATCATGCTTTTCACTGTAGCATCTAGGAATGGTGCTTACAGATAGTCATATATGCCTTTGAAGAGGATGAGGCACCATGAGGAAACAGCACGTGGGGCAAAATATCACTTGTGCCACACGTGTGCAGGAGTGAGCCGCTTCAGCCGCCCCTGCTGCTCCAGCCTGAACTTTAACCACAAACCCTTCTGCTTCCATACAAGGCAAAGTGCTTCCACACCCACAGACAAAAAGGGTCGTGGCTAAAGTATTTGGGTCATCTCTCAAAATGAATAATGCTCATCAAGGATGTTTCAATCATGTAACAGATCTGATGGTAGGCTCTCCCTGATGGAGCTGTCAAGGGTGAACAGCCCTTGTAATGGCTCTCCCGTGGCTGAATAGAAATGTTTCCGTGCTGAAAGAAATGCACAAACTACAGCATTTTTCAGAGCCTCATTATAGTCAGTTGTTGAAATGATGAGCTGACATTTCCATTAAGATATGCTGGGAAACCCATCTGGAGATATTCCTGGAAACTGCGTAAGGCAAGTACCAGCCTCTCATCAGGAATATAAGGCAGTAGGAGGCAGCCTGTGCCGCCTTCTGAAGGTCTCTGGGAAATTCCCTTGGTCTAAGAGCTCTTCACTGCCCAGTCACTGTCATTGCTATTTGGAAATCATATTCAGTGTCAGAAAGAAATCTTCAATACCTGTTGCTTGCATGGTTTTTCAGAGGAAATAGCTTCTTAATTTCAGCATGAGAAGTTCAGAACAAATTTCTAGAGTTGTTTCCAGCTTTAGACTGATTTTTTTCACCATTAATCCCTGAGGATTTGTAGGTTTAAAGGAATGTAAGCCTCTAGAAAAAAAGTTTCAGACAAGATGATTAACTATTTATATGCTGTATATACTATCTTACTTGTGCCTGAAATACACATGTACACAAACACAAGTGAAAGAACACTAGTTTTTGTACAGAATGGAGACAAATTCTCTGGCAGAGTGAAGGTGACATAGTGAAAGATGCATGAAAAATACAATTTATCACACTCATAAACCAGTGAGACACACACAGTGTTATATAAAAGGTGTTATTATTTTCATTAGAGAAGCCCTACAAGATCCTCACAAGATCAGCATTTCTTTACACTGTCCAAAACTTTAAAAAAAAGTCACAGAGTAGGTGTCTGTACAATAAATACAATAGATATTTATGTATGCAAAAGGAAGACTGTGTGCTCTGTGAAGGCATGACTTTGCCTCCCTTGGACTGTAAAATACTTCATATACTTCTTGAGTTAAGTAAGCGCACACACACACACACAGAGCCCTGCCCACCAGCGAGAGACCTGGGAATTAGGAGAAGGCAGGAGTAAGGGTTTCTGGGCAGCAGTTACTCCCATTCCTGCCCTGCATGTGCATTATGGTATAGTTTAAGAAAAAGCACTTTTGTCATAACAGTTCTAGAGAAGACATCTGAAATAACTCTGCCTTTTTTTGGGGAGCTGTGACATCCTGACCTGGCCTGGACTGTTTCCCCCAGGGCACCCCATGCCATGATGGACTCTGGGAGCACCCCAACGCCCAGGGGTACACCCCAACAGCCATACCCCTGCAATTCAAGGGCTGGAGGAGATGAGCTGGGGTGAAAGGTGCTTTTCATGAAGGGCAGTCTGTGCTGCAGAGACAGTCCTGCCACCTGGGAGTGCTGATGTGATGGGGACAGGGAAAGGGAAAGGAGGAATCAGCACAACTGTGTGCAACAGCAGTAAAAATGTCCTGCAGAAGTGTAGTGCAGGGCTGGGTTGCACTGAGGAAGAGTGATTATTTCAAGTGCTTCCTGTGTTGGAAGATTTGATTTATCTAAAGGCTACTTAAGCCAAGAAATGCCAAGAGAAACAGCAGGCTCTTTCAGACCAACATTTTTTTAAAGCAAAACCATGACACTCCGGGTGTTCCTCGCTATGGAGGAGAGAGGAACAAGACAGTGCCTGTCATGTAGGACATGAGATGCAAAGACCAGATCATTGTGATTTTCAGGACTATGAGAGACACACATGGCAAAAGGATTTCTGAAGACATCAAGTGCAGAAAAAGATCCTGGCACAAAGCAAACTCTGAAGAGCTTTGGTTTAGGACTTTCTGCTTAAGTAGAATCATAGAATTGTTTAGCTTGGAAAGACCTTTAAGATGATCAAGTCCATCTGTTAACCTAGTACTGCCAAGTCCACCACTAAACCATGTCCCTAAGCGCCACATCTACCCGTCTTTTAAATACCTCCGGGGGTGGTGACTCAACCACTTCCCTGGGCAGCCTGTTCCAGTGCTTGACAACCCCTTCAGTGAAGAAATTTTTCCTAATATCCAATCTAAACCTCCCCTGGTGCAACTTGAGGTCATTTCCTCTCATCCTGTTGCTTGTTACTTGAGAGAAGAGACCGACACCCACCTCGCTACAACCTCCTTTCGGGTAGCTGTAGAGAGCGATAAGGTCTCCCCTGAGTGTCCTTTTCTTCAGGCTAAACAACCCCAGTTCCCTCAGCTGCTCCTCATAAGGCCTGTGCTCCAGACCCTTCACCAGCTTCGTTGCCCTTCTGTGGATGCGCTGCAACACCTCAATGTCTTTCTTGTATTGAGGGGCCCAAAACTGGACACAGTATTCGAGGTGTGGCCTCACCAGCGCCGAGTACAGGGGCACGATCACTTCCCTGCTCCTGCTGGCCACAGCATTCCTGATACAAGCCAGGATGCTGTTGGCCTTCTTGGCCACCCGGGCACACTGCTGGCTCATGTTCAGCCGGCTGTCAACCAACACCCCCAGGTCCTTTTCTGCCAGACAGCTTTCTAGCCACTCTTCCCCAGGCCTGTAGCATTGCATGGGGTTGTTGTGACCCAAGTGCAGGGCCTGGCACTTGGCCTTGTTGAACCTCATACAATTGTAGCAAAACAAAAGTAGCAGCAGGAAGCCGCTGAAAGATGATATTACACAGTGTACCTACTGGATGGGATGCAGGTTGGGAACCATGTGAGAAAAGCAAGGTACTTCCACTGCTTTTCTGAAAACTCTATTTGCATTTATTCAAACTTACATCACTTTTTATTTAGTCTTGTTTATAATGCATATACTAACAGTTGTGTTTTTCCACTAATTTTGAATGCCTTACGCTAGTATCCTTGTTGTAATAGTGTCCTCATAAAAAATATTGCTAAAGAGGCAATATTTTCAAGAAAGTTTCTGGAGTCACTATGCCTTCTAGCCAGGTAGTGGGGGGAATGAAAACAAAGGCAATTGAGTTATTTGCGGAAAAAATGGGGTTCTGACTTTGAAGGAACCCCAGAGTCAGCCTCCCCCCTGTACACAGATCCTAGATCTGGCCATACCAGATGAAAATACCCAGGAAACAGGGCTTGGGCAGTTAAGGAGTGCTCCAGCGAGGGGATGGAGTTCTAGGCAGGTGATCCAGCAGGATCTCAGGCAGCATTCACTGTCCGTGTGCATGTCCAAATTTGAGAAAAGTCCAACTGAAGGCAAGATGTTTCACATCCACAAAACATGACATACACACATATTTCTCCAGACTGCTGTCCTGCCCTGTTTCCAATATGTCTATAAATCTTCCATTGTTTTCTTGCGCCCCTGTGATAATAGATCTTAAGCTCATGTTGCAACTCTTGCCAGCACTTACCTTCTGATGTGTAGACATGTTTCCACTGAAACCAATGAGAATTTAAAGGCCAGAATTTGACATATGATCTATCCTGAAAAACATGGGAGTTGGCAAGTCAAGAAGCTAAGATCTTTCTTTCAAACTTGTCTGAATAAGGAACACATCCTTCCAGTAAATTCAGTATCAGACTCCATCTACTACATAAACATCATCAATTTCAAAAAATATTCCCAACTAAGCAGTAAAAATGGTTTCTACTAATAAAGACCCTATAAACCAAAGATCGGCCCATGAAGGAAATGAGGCTGCCCCAGAACTGGAGAAACGTAAGTGTGTGGAGGACCTTCAACTCACATTTGTGTTAAAAAGTCAGTTTGTGTGTGTCTGGCTCATGCTAGGCTGCAGCACAGAGTAGGTTGGCTTTGCCATCTTCAGACAAAATCATATCTATTGACAGTTTTTAATGGTCCAGCTGTCTGTAGGTCTACCTTGATATTGAATCCAAAAGCAACATTGTGTGTTCAATGTTGTCTGAGAGCACACAAGGAAGAGAGAGATTTAATCATGTGAGTAACTGCGCAAGCACTTGAAGGTTTTTTGCTTTACAGGTGGCACAACTTGAGAGCAGCAGGCACAGGGCTCCAGCACATCCCTGAGCAGGTTCAGTTTTTCTTTTCATATCCTCCAACAAAGGCAGAAGTGTGAACAAGGGGGCACCGACACTGCCTTTCACTGCAGGGTACCTGGGTTCCTAGTGGGTTCCCATTGCACGGGGAAAGGAGCGGGGAGGAAGGGATGTTCAACACTGTATGGAGGTGGCTGGCACAGATCTGGGATCTGTGTACAGGGGGGAGGCTGACTCTGGCATCCTTTTTCCCTGTGCAGCTGGGCATTGACACAAGACATGTACACACTCCTCCTGGCAAACTCCCCCGTAACTTCGGCGGGAGAAGGATGGTGTCCTTAGTCTGATTGCAATGGAAAGCAGAAGTTTGCTTAGAAGCCACTTTGGGTTTGTTTCTCAAGCTTTATCCTTGAAATACATGACTTCTAGACAAGTGATATCAATACAAAAGAGCCAGTACTTTATTCATCATCAGGCTTTTGGAGTAGTGTTTGCCCTGACAGGCAAAAACACGGCTTCTGAGTGCAACAGTATCCAGCTGCACTAATTTAGCTGGGTTATGTGCCATAATCCATGTAACAGCATTAGCCCAAAAAACTTCAAAGCACTTCACAGTCGTGCCAGTAATGAAGTTCCTGGCACTGCAAAGGAAGTGAAAAAAGAGATTCCTCAACATAAAGCACAGTAAGAGAGAAAGGCTGGGGGAAGGAAAACCCTGCTACCGATTCTCTTTCATTCAAGATGTACTATTGGCATCGGTCACAACAAAAGGCTGAGGAACATTTTACAACTGTAATTTGGGTGCTAGTGTGATTCTGTGCCCTCATTTTCCCTCCTCAGAAATCCAAAATATCAACATATGAGAAGATGTGGGCGTTCATGAGCAGCAGGCAACAGACAGCACTGGTGAAGAACAATGACGAGGGAATCCAGCGTGTGCTCACAACAGACTATGCGCTGCTAATGGAGTCAACCAGCATAGAATACGTGACTCAGAGAAACTGCAATCTCACCCAGATCGGGGGGCTCATCGATTCAAAAGGCTACGGCGTGGGAACCCCTATTGGTAAGATGCTGTACAGCACAGGTGTTATGGAGCACACCCAGCAATGTCCCCTTCAGAAGTTTAGATGGCCATTTGAATCATGTCCTAGTCTTTTAGAAACCTTTCTCATTGAAACAGACCCTAGGAGCCTCCTTTTAGGCAAAACATCTACTCTTGCCCTGCTCATCTGCAAGTAGTCTCCGCAAGCAGGAGGGAATACAGCAGTGCAGGCTACATCTGCAGAATGAGGTCGAGTGACCTGCTTGCCTTCTAGAGCATCTCATTTGTAGCAAACTGGGTATCTTCTATGCTGCTTGAGATGCAAGTTGCTCTACTGAAATTCAGTTTAGTTTGAGAAATTAGGTAGTGTCTCTGGGAAAATGGAAGTGGGCAGGATAAATGTTATGTCCAATGTATGCATCCCAAAGAAAGCTGCATGAAAAGAGATGAATTTCTGATCTATTTCATGACCGCAGCGCAACACATAAGGACAGTGAGTAGCAATTGCAAGGTTCTGCATCTGCATGAGGGATTTCACTGTTTTGAGCTAAGCAGAGTCTTAAGACTCCCAATCTCTGTGAACTCTTTTCAGTAGACCTTTTTTAGTATATCCAGTGTCCTTTTCAAGATTTTCTAATTGTAGAGAATTAGAAAGACTGTCAGGTTTTTGTGCTGTGTTCTTGTGAATAATCGGCACTGGGCAGCCAGATCTTTTTCCTGCATAATATACTTCTCCATCCTGCTCACATATTCATTTACCATGCCATGCTCAGTTAACAGCTATGCAATTTTATTGTCTTCAAGGGAATTATTCAAGGCAATATCATTTTGCACAGATGCAACAGGTGAAGTATTTGGTCCATCGGTTGCTTTGTAGACCAGATATAAATAAGGGAGAAACACCACTGCACTTTGAACTGTGATCCTTTATGCTACTGAGTACCTCAGACAGATTGTCATATAGATAACATTTTAAGTATATTTTTCCACTAGTTATGTGAGAACAGCCTTCTCACCCTGAGGAAAATGATACAAAAGCTAAAATGCCGAATAAAGACAAATGTATGGCAAGAGTTTCATTGCAGTTATAAAGCTGCAACACTTTAAACCAAGAACAATGAAGGAATAATTGGAACAGATGGTAATCCTCAGAGAGAGTGCATCCATTTGAAATACAGCTGTGAAATATATTTATAAGATGTTTCTTGTATGATAAACGTGCCTTAATTTTTTTTCTTAAGGAAAACCAGCAAAATTCAGGGGAATAAGTATCTCCAAGCACCGTGGAATAATTCAGTGCCATCAGGCATCTTAAATTCTTAAATGATTGATTTCATAAACAGGATAAGCTGTGGAGATCCTTCCACTATTCAGATGGACCCCAAAGGCTCTGTTATTTTCCTCATAGCATTGAAGACTATTGATTGCGGAAGCTGTACAGAAAAAAAGAAAGAAGAGTTGTCTGTGACCCTTAACAACAAAGTTTCAGCAAGTCTTAACTGGTCTGCATTTGTTCCTTCAGGACAATGCACAACCACATGGTTAGGGTTTGCAGCAGCAAAAGTATGCCTCACACTCCAAAATTTCCAGTGAATGAGCTGAATATCATCACTATTTGGCTCCCAAAGAAACAGGAAGGAGAATTTTTAAAAGTTCTATGAATCCAGGAGATGTTCTATTTCATCAGAGCATCTTCTGCAAGTAAAAAACTGCAGATATAAGGCTGTCTTCCTACTTCTTTGCACTGAGTTAGGATAAAGGGGATTTAGGCATATCAACAAACATCTCCATTTAAGTTTCTTACGGAGCCGATGGGTCTCAGAGAGGAGGCCTTTCATCAGATTCTTGGTGAAGACCATTACTAATGAAAAATCTGCAGCGATGGTTGGTGGTGAACTTAATGCACTCTGGAAGTACTGCTGTAGCAAAGGCACCTCTAAGCAAAACCTGTGCAAAATGTCACCCTGGGAGGAATCCAGCTGAAGAAAGCAACATTATTATAGATGTCAGGACAGGTATTAATTCCAGCATCACTGCCAGTGCTGATGTTAGTAATTCTAACACTCAAGCTATTACCAGTTACTTGGGAGACTGCTAAGAAAGTAGACAGATGCATTTCTTGGACTGAGAGGTAGGTTGTTAATAGCTCAGAGGCAATAAATGATATGCTGAATATTCAAAGAGGTTTTGAGATGGATTTGTGTGTGGTTTTAGCACTCACCAATAAAATATCACCAATCCAACACTCCAGGCACACTTGAAAAACTTTAAAAGCACACATAGAAATATAGATGTACCTGCTACCCCCAAGATGAATTGTGATAAACCTGCTGGCAACATAAACATCACAAGAAAGAGTGAACATCCCCACAAATCGTGCGTTGTGACTCAGGCTGCTTCACTCTACCTAACAGCTATGTCTTCTCAGACAAGGGAAAATAGATGAGTCCTACAATCTAACAGACTCCAGCTATCTGGGCGACAAACCTCTCCTGAGGTAGAACCAATTTTGCTCTTTCTTCTGAGAGGCACTGCTGTTTTCAGTGGTAATAATTCACTTCTCTGTGTAAAGACAGCTTTGAAGGTGTTTCCGTTTTTTTTCCTGTTGTGCTTATTTTTGGTTCTTTAATAGCATGCATAGAAATCATCTATTCTTACAGCAGGTATATTTTCCTTTCAAAGCTGGCTACCTCAAGCAGTGGCTGCTGATTGCTGGCTTCCCAGATGGACTTTGTATAATCTGACACGTCTCTTGGCATCTGTGGTCACAGCATGTCCTAGGGCTGGCAGTAAGATACACTGAAAAATAGCAGAGTGTTGGCACAACAAATGAAGAACTGCAATGTTTTTCACACTGATTCTGCTCAGACAATGATGCGGGTTAAAGGAAATGGAAATCAGAGAGGGGGACGTGTATTCACGGTACAATTTTTTTTAATAATGTCCTGCATGGCAATATAAGAAAGAAAACTGAAGCTGTGAGGCGAAATTTCCAAGGCCTCATAGAGACCCAAAAGCAGTGCCTAGTGAGATTTTTCTTAAGTGTCCATGTCTATGTGTACCGTGCTATCACTGAAATTCTGGCACATGCTCTGCCATAAAAGTTTGTTTACCCTGATCACATTGAGAATTGCAACTGCTTTAATTTGCAGCAAAATGTGACTGTTGGTGAAATTACAGCTTAAGAAAATAGTCTTGCTAATGTGCTAAAGAGGAGGAAAGGATGAATGGTAGTTAGCTACATGGACAAAGGACTGGTGACACTGTATTTCAGCACAGACACTAAACACTTGCAACTGCAGGAAGTCCAACATGGCAGGATTTGGGGGCATATATATGTCTTTAGAGCCAAACGGTCTTTTTTGTAATCCTCTCCTGCTTGTTGTCATAAAAACCTTGCCCCATAAAGAAAAGTCTCTCTCACAATGCCAAAACCAACTCCTACTTGTCTATTATAATTAATAACAGGATTGCTGATATTACTGTTGATAACTTCAGCTTCTGGCAACACGGGAAAAGAAAAATGGTAGCAATTTCCTTTACCTAGGCACTGTTCCAGAAGTGGGGCAAGGGGTAAGTCTCTCCCTTGTCCCCCTTTAGGGCTACAGACTTGTGCTTCTGCAAGAGCGCAAGTTGGCTGAAGGGACTTACAGGCAGCAGAGATTTTGGAAGATGGAGAGCCAGAGCAGAGTGCGTGAGAAGCAAACCTAAACAGATTGAACTGCCCAATATGACCCTGCCATTTGCCAGATACTGTACAGGCCCATTAATGCTGCTGAGCCTGAAGTCACATCATTTAGCAAGCTGTTGGCCTGCAAAAAAAAAGCATGAAATAGTTGCTATTTTCAGCTTGCAGCGCCAATATTGTTGCAAGTCACAGAAAGAAAGATTTGGCCGCCTTGTGTTCTTATAAGCTGTAAGGTAGCTGAAGTGGAGTTGTAGGCTTATGAAGGTATAAATGAGAAGAGAATGTATCTGACTGACTGTGGGCTCTTCTTAGACAGCTACTCATTTTACATGCAGTAGGAAAGATAAGCAGATGTTGAAGTAAATAGAAGAGACGCAAAGCAGAAAGTCTCAAAGGATGCTCAAAGCAATATTCAAACATGATATGGAGGAATTACTTAGCAAGAAAACCCACTGCCAAGGCTTAAATAAACCTCAGTAGGAGACCCTAGAAATTACAATGAATTCTCAAACAAATAACTGCACCATAGGAGCCTTCTGCTTTCCAGTCCCCGGGGCAGACACCAACAGATAGTCCTCTTCCCCCTTCCAGCTGAAGAGAAACCAAGGCTTTCTAGCTGGAATAATCAATCTTGCGATAAGGGACCACTTTTGCTTCAGTTAGCAGCAGCTTGCTCCCTCCCTGCCTTCACTTTGCTGCAGCCAGCACTGACCGGTCTTGCTCTCGCCTTGCAGGGTCTCCTTACAGAGACAAGATCACCATCGCCATCCTCCAGCTCCAGGAGGAGGGAAAACTGCACATGATGAAGGAAAAGTGGTGGCGAGGCAACGGCTGCCCTGAGGAGGACAGCAAAGAAGCCAGCGCTCTCGGGGTGGAGAATATTGGGGGCATCTTCATAGTGCTTGCTGCAGGGCTTGTTCTTTCGGTGTTTGTAGCCATTGGTGAATTTATATATAAATCAAGGAAAAACAGTGATATTGAGCAGGTGAGTCATCCATTTCCAGCTTGCTTATGTTTCTGGGAGGCTGAGGTTTGTGGATGTGGAGGCGACTGCATTATAAGTCTCTTTGCTGGAGTGCAGATTTTGTATTGCTGAACTCTCACCATGCGCTTCTGGCACTAAAGACAAATAATTTATTAATAAGGACAGGGAAGTACCTCACCCACAGTCCAATTAGCGCTGCTTAGTATGGCAGTGCAGAACAAGAGCAATTAATTTCTCAAACAGTTTCTGCTTGATCTTTAAGACTTCAAGTATAAATTACATTGGAAAGGAATAAAATACAACTGGATTTTTTTTTTAGATGGCATTAGCATCAGCCCTTTGAGTAACAACAGGAATGTACTTCCAAATCCCCAAGTGTAATTTTTCGCTTGCTCTAGAAAGCATTTTTTTCACAGCCAGGGGTTTACACACTGTGCTGACACAGGCACTTCAAAGCAGGGAAACCTACTGAAAGGTGATAGATGCCACAGTAAAGTAAGATTATGGAGCCAAAGAAATTTTGGTTATAGCTCCACTGAAGCGTAATGAGCAATTTAAAAGGGCAGAGGGAAAACAAAGAAAATGCTGTGTATAAATCATGCCTTGAGTATTAGAACAGTTTGTGAGATAGAATCTATCATTAAAATAGAGTGTAAACACGCATTTACCGAATCACCAGCCGCTGTAAAAGAAACAAGGCATGAGCAGCAACTCAGAGTTTGTTCTTGAATTTGTCTGCCAACCCTCTTACGCTGGCTGACTTCCCTGGTGCCAGTTTGGTTCTGGCCATGTCCTAGACCCTGATGTGGCCCTGTTTGGCTCAACTGCTATATCTGCCCTGATCCTTTTCACTTCACCACGACTCATTGTAGGGATGAGGGTCATATTGCACTGCAGGATTGGTGGCCCCTGATGCAATCACCAAGAAGCAGGTTCATATCACCTAACCTCAGGTTTCTAGACATGAGGCATCTACTTCAACGTGAGTTGTTTAAGCTCACTTTGCACTTTTAGATGGGAAAGACGGGAGATTTGCTGTGGGCATTTCATCCTCTTCGTCCAAGGTGTAATCCTGCAAGGCTGATGACATGAATGCCAGAAATGACTGTTAAGAAAAACAACATTAATGAAGGCAGCAGGGATGAGTGGGAGGAGAAGGAGAGCATTTTGAACTCTGTATCAGAGGTGCAGTTTACACTGCATACAGCAGTGGTGCTGGGATGTGAGAGGGATTGACACCTGAGTAAAAACAAGCATCCAGGGCTGAGGGCCTCGAGAGGACAACATCTGATTTTGGATAGGATAAATCACCTGTATCTCCTTGCTGCCAGTAAGGGACCACCATAAGCTAAGGCTACATGGCTGCTGTTCAGACAGCTAAAAGGAAGTGAGCTGAATCCTACCATGTGTCTACATTTTCCAAATGGCACTTGGTGTTATTTTGGGTCCATGACACCTAATGCCAATGTCAATGGACTTGGTCCTCACAGTATCCTGCAGGAGAGGGCAGCTCCTGACTGTGCAGGCATCTCCACCTGTGCCTGAGCAAGCCCTCATTAAAGGCAGTGGCACTGTCTACAAACAACAGATGCAGGTCATGTGGAGCAATTTTGCAGGCCGTATTAATTAAAGTGTCCCTGTTTTGGAATAAGTCAGAGATAAAGGATGATTGTATTTTGCACATATTGCAGCTTTCTAGTTAATATTTTAACCCTATAGAAGAGTTTTAGCACAAAATGCATAAAGAATGTACAGATATCTTTGTTTCATTCATGTCGCAGGAGATCTTCCATTCAAATATGATTTGGAGAACAGTTGCAGCTAATTAAAATGTTTAGTATAAATGCTAATATGGTGCAGAATATCCTGGAAACTCTTTAGGAGTCTGGGAAAGGCAACGCATTCCTGAAGTCATATTTAAAGTAGACCTAAAGCTTTACATCATGGCTGTTAATTTACTTAGCAATATGTTGGGTGAATAACATAGTATTCAGGGATATATATATACACATATACCACTTCTGAAACTGTACCACTGTTTCACAGCAATGTGTTGCTTATTATAGGCAGTCTCTTCATAATTAAGATCTTTAAGTGAGTTAGTGTGGCAACATCATACCTCTTTTCCAGAAGTAATTTTACAGAAAGTAGAATACCAGCAACTCCAGTGTTACTTTCTGATTTCTCTTAGTTTGTTTTATTTTTATTCTGGTGAAATAAGAAGCTTGGATGGAAAATGCTTTACAGTGTATATTATCACTAAGCTAATCCAAAGCATGAGCCAAATACAATCTATGACTTTTCTGTTTCCATAAGTAGAATCTCTTTTTATTTAAATAGCTTTTGAATCTCATTCTCATGTTTGTTTTTAATTTTATTTCTTTCATTCATTTCTTTTCTTGATTTTTCTTTTCTTGCATGCAAGGCCTTTTGTTTCTTTTATGGACTACAGTGTAAGCAAACCCATCCGTCCAACTCCACCTCTGGCACCACCTTATCTACGGAGTTAGACTGTGGCAAGTTAATCCGAGAGGAGCGAGGGATTCGAACACAGCCCTCAATTCACACTGTATAGTCAGGAAAGAAAAAAGGTGTGTCCGATGGAAAGCATTAAACTTAAACAGTGCACATAATGGCAAAGGTTGTACTTACCAACACATAGTTAATGACTTCAAAGTGCCTCTTGCTTCAGCAGACCAT